GCCTGTCCGGCGTCGGATCAAGATAGAAGGTAGTTCGGGACGATGTCAACTGTTTATTCCCGATAGGTCAAAATGGCCGCCTCCAGTAACCTGAGCAGTAAGCTGTCGACATTGGAAGTGAGCAATGCTATTAGCCGACTGACTGTGGAAGAAACGAGAGAGCTAGTGTTCCAAATGGGCGTACCTCTCAAGGTCATTGATGATATTGCTGAGGCATACAAAGGGAAAAATCGAAAGCACCACTTTGTGCAGGGGTGGCTAGATATGACCCCTGATAGCAGCTGGGACAAGCTGGTTGCTGGGCTGAGGAACATCAATATGAACTCCTTGGCAACTGCGATTGAGTCTGAGCATCACCCAAAAGCGCTATCGACATGCGATCCCTCCCTTCCCAAGCCTGCTGCTATCCCTGTTTCCATTACATCGCCACATGCTAATAGTGTAGAAGAAGTTGAGGCAAATATAGAGCATTTGGAGAAAGAATTTTCCGACATCAAGTTCAAAACCAGGCAATCGTTAACGAAAAAGGAGAAAGAAGATTCCGATTTTTTTGAAATGTTCCGAGAGCACCTTCTAGAGTTACCTGTTGCAAAGAAGCAAGTTCATATTCGATTCTTCAGCAGAAACCTGGACGAAATCCTTAAAGCTGAGAACATTCAAAAGCTTTTTATTATCCTAGGTCGCCACTGCAACTACTCCAACTATGAGATTATCTTCCACGTTGTCAAGAGATTCTGTCATGATCTGAAGGGAAGAATGACTGGTTATCGTGACTCTCTCGTCGCTTTTGAAAAGTCAACAACAGTCGATGTGTACCTATGTGCCATTTCCGCTCGTCCTGGTGGTGAAGTTAGCAAAGGATTCATCCGCATGACCACGAAGATCAACAAGCCACCTTCAGAGTGCTCGCTTTATGTAATCCGAGAGTTGAAGGAGTCCATCGAGGAGGCGGCATCTCTGGAGTCCTATGCCATGTACATTGAAACCCCAGAGGAGGGCTCTGTATGTGTAGGGTTGCGTGTTCACAAGGAGGTTGTTTGGATGGTGGGTGTGGCCTTCACTCCTAGCTTCAGACAAATACATCTTGTGACAGATGTCACTGTTATCCGTAGTGAGTTATGGCATGAAGATCTCTCAAAGTACCTGGTAAGAAACCTATGCACAGTAGCCGAATTAAGCCAGTATGTCCATCAAGCACAGCCTCCTCCGCAGCACACATTTGCACAGATGTCCCGATTTTGCCATTATCTATTATGCAGTCGAGTTATCTATCTTGCCTTTAGCTCTGTATAGTGTTATGGACAATGCTGGATCCCATTCTCACATGTAACACCCATGATGCACAAACAGGGCAGAAGTTAATGAGGTCTATCTGACATTTTATACTGAAAGTTGCCTGTATGTCCCATAAGAAAAGTATGCTGTCAGTAAAGTATGAGGTACTTTGTAAACAGTTTACACAATGACTTCCAGGCTTAAAATATTACTCTCTTCACATGCTTTGAAAACTGAGGGTTAACAAATAATATTTAGAAGCTGATTTGAGGTAACTACGTGCAGTAGAAAGCCGAGATCCCTGGCATTGTGGCGCCCCGAGCGCACCAGGGGCGCTACCCCTGGGCACGAGGCTTTCTACCAGCGCATAGTTACCGAGGAATCAACGTCTAACTATTTTAGTATGAGCGCTTCACGTTTAGAGCTCTGGCTTTCATGTTCGTTCGTATGGTGGAGCACTTCTAACGATGAGTTGATGGAGACAGGCTCAGAGTGGCAGAAAATGCAGCACAAGAGCGAAGCGGCAGAGACCAGTGACTCCGCTATCTTTCTGGTTGTTCGTGTGGACGACGTGTCAATGTAGTGTTCAGTTGTTGATCTTGTTGTTTAACTATGGATCGCACGTGTGAGTGCTGGCTGAGCATGCATATGCTTGATGAGGGGGTGTAGCTTGTTCGCTACTTACAAGTCACAACGAAGTGCATGTATCGACTCCCGCGTGCTATCTACTACTGTAGCTAGCCCATGTCAGACTCCAAGAGCTACTAGCGGGAGACCACGAGCTAATAGCCCAGCCCATCAATTAGCGGTATCGAGCATGCTCAGTTGACCAAGGGTTTGCACTTTAGTGCTTTTCCTATTTTTTATGAAACCCCGTCGAGGTTTACTACGGGAAAGAGTAAACCTCGGCTTTGCAATCTGATTGGTCAATTCGAACCTTGCTCACTCTAAGCTCATGTAGCTAGAATGCACTGGTCAAAGATAATGTTGTTACTCTTCTTGTGAATGAGTTACACCCTATGTATAATACTCTAGAAAGATGAATTGATATCTGCCTCTGAGAGAGGAGACGTGAAAGTAGTGACTTCACTGATCACAGCTGGAGTTGATGTGAATGTCAAAAACTCGGTGAGACATGCATATAATACTACAAAGTCTTATGTCTCAATATACACACATCTGTCATCACACAGTGGCCTGGAAACTGTGCAATAACATCTGCTGCCAGGGAAGGTCGGACTGAAGTTGTTTCACTGCTACTAGAGGCTGGAGCTAACATTGATCTACAGAATAAGGTAAAGTGAAGATAATGACAGTGACATACTAGGAGGTGTAGTTAGTACAAG